AACGACCCTTAAGATTAACGAAGCTTTGGAATATCATACCATACAGTTGTTCGGAACCCTGGGGTATAGGAAATCTATTTATCAGCTCTAACAAATGTTTTGGATCAATAAACTTTCATGGTTGGACTCATGGTCGGTTTCCATTCAGGGTGTGAGTTCTTGGTTAGTATGCTCCAATTAGAAAATTGGTATGCAATAACACCATGCTGTTTAAAGCGCTTAATTTTAATGTGCACTTTTAATACTGGAATGTTAAAGGAATAGGTGTCCCACATGTCCATACACATGTATCCAACTGGAATGTTGGTATATTTTTAATGAATAAGTATGAGAATCATATTTTGAAAAATATAACATTTTGTAATTTTCATGTACTTTTCAACTTAATCTGTGCTTCGCTGATAAATCAATCTAAATGGTTAGGAATGGTAAGCTATCTATGGAAACTTCTAAATAAAAGATATGTCACAAAAGAGAACTTTGTCAGTGTTTTATATAAAACATATATATACATATAAAATAAAGAAACTAAAGAGATTTTGTATATGTTTATTCATCAAACGATCATCATTTTAATTTGATCGAGTTTCCAGCATTTTAATTGATTTATACTCAAATCCAATTCCAAATCCAATTCCAAATCCTTTCATTTCACTTCACCATGTTTAAAATATCCTTAATGCTGGAAAAGTGACATTATAAGAATCATTGATCTAGTGCATGCATCTTCTTAGGCACATCCGCTAGGACAATCTAACCTTTAGCTAGCCCTATAGCTCCCTTTCTGAGACATGCACTTTCCTTGAAATTACAAGACCACCTGTTTTTCAGGTTTATGCTCGCTTTCCAAGATCCCGGTCGAACAGGAATGCAAGGTATAAAGAGTAACGTAGGTAGGCAACAATCAAAAATAGCATTTCTGCGAAGCTTGATGTCCACTCCACATGCGATATTAAGGAAACCGCCTGGCAAGACTATCGGGCGTATCGGTATCTATGTTATACCAGGTACAATATATGCCCGGTCAGAAAAATCTTGTTCTCATTCGTTTTTGGAATGAAACTGAGGAATATCCAATGACAGAATTGGGTCATGACGATTGCCTGAAGGAGTAGTATTCAAGATTACAAGAAATCGTTCTGGAATTTAATTAACTTGATGGTCAGGTAAGCAGAATAGGGTGAAATATGATATTATTGGCGTATATGTACCCGATTGCGAATTTTAATTCCGCTGGTCAAACTATGAATGTTTGCAAGAATGATTGAAAGTGCAGTGACAAAATTTGTCAATGAATAAACCATAATCTGTTCTGTGCAAGGATCTGGGACAACAACTGAATACATGAATCAAAATTGTGTTTTAAAACTGAAGGAGTATTTCTTGTGACAGTTATCGGTAGTAGTATAAAAGTGGTAATGGAAAAGAAGATAAGATAATGAGATTCAGGGTTAAAAAAAAAGAATAGCAGCAAGCTAAAACCAGTTTTAAAATTTATCAAGAGTGAACCAAAGTTAGTTTGAAAATAGGAGGAAAAAGAAAAAAAAAGATAATAAAGAAGAAAAGAATAATGTGGATGATAAACAGATAAATAAAAATAATAAACAGACTATGGCTATAATGGCTGATATAAACAAGTGTATTGGCACTAATTCAAAATATAGAGAAAGATGGCCATTAAAAACTGTAGAGAACAAAAAATGTAGGGATATGAGTCCTACTCAAATAAAGACAGAAAAGACATTACACAAGAAGAAGGGTGACCAAAAGAAGAAAAAAAGAGTACCGGGTATGAGAAATGAGGGAAGATATAGAAGGAGATGGAGAAAGGGGACAAATGCGGATGTAGAGCAGACCTCCATTTTGGAAGGGGGCCAAATTCGGAGCTCATCAAAACACATGTCTGGCAGCAATAATGAAATCATGCTGGAAAGCTCATGGGAGGATGAGGGCTGCAAGTTATACCAATTTACCCAGATACAATCTGTTTGTTGTGTCTGTGTACTTCTAGTTAGACTGCAGACACAGACTCTAATTTAACACTTAAAACAAAATTCCATACAATCTTAGGCCAAGCCTAACCTCACCTAACCTCCTAGAGGTTTAGTAGTCCAGTGGTTACTTGACTTGAAACTTAAATGGTATGGGTTCAAGCCCTGGCACCGCACTGGCACAAGACATTCTCTTTGCACTGCTCCTCTCCACCTATGCAGGTGTTGAATGGGTGCCCAGGGAGTGGAGAATGTGCATTGTATTGTGCAGAATAGTAATTCAATCCAGTGACCGGGGTAATAATGTTACTTCAAGCGTTTTGGTCAGTTAATTGAAGGAAAAGCGCTTTATATATGAACCGGTATTGGTATTATCATTCAGTCTCTCTCTGGCTGTGTCGGGATCAGCGGTAGTACAGGGCCAATGAAGTGCAGTAGATCATGAAGTCTACATAGTCTCAAAGTTCAGTCTCTCTGCTTTGCATTACGACTGACAACGGTTTATGCCTGCAAACTTATTTCTAGGGTGCAGGGTCTCAAAAGCATACCCCCGCTCATGCTTTTAAAGTACAAGGCAGAAAATTGAGATGGAATTTAGAGATTGCATCAAGAGTGCGGTTTTGAGTGTTCTTCCTTTAACACAAAAGAGAGGCAAATAAAGAAAGGGGAGTAGAGAAAAACAGATAATTAGAATTAAAAATAATGGATGAGAAGACAAGATGCTAAAGTGGAAAAGCAACCAGACAGTGGAGCAAAATTAGTCTGGTGCCGACTCCCAATGGCAATTATCATGGTTGAAACACTTTCAAAGTATTATAGTTAGATCACTTTAAATACTAGGACAAAATTGGTCTGAGCGTGAATGCTGAGTGTATTGTTGCAAACACTTAACAATTAGAACTAGATATGAAATGCATTTACGCTATGAAATATTCAAAGTACCTGAAATAGAATTAGTCCGGAACTAAATTCCTATGGTCCCAAACAATTTCAAATACCGGCAGATCAAATGGAGGACAATTACAATACCTGGAAGAAAATTAGTCTGGGTCTGCATCCCAAGTGTAACACCAATGACATGGTCAAAAATACTAAAAATAGAATGCAGGGCAATTACATGAAGTATTGACATTATGGTCGAGTGGATCACAAGGTCCGTGGTTTTTAAGTCTCATCGCAGCACTAATGTCCTTTGACAGGACATTAATCTACATTTGCCACACTGGACCTAGGTGATGTAATAATAATAATAATAATAATAGCTAGTTCTTATATAGAAAATATATATATATATGTAAATGGGTACCTGGCAGGAATTAATTCCTTGAAATGCTAGAGCACCGTAATGGCAACTATGCTAAAGCCAGGGTAATAATTGTGGAGCGCCAGGAGTGTCAAGTCTAACAGACATGAGCGCCGCCGTACAAAAACCCACTATTATTATTATTATTAGTATTATTATCAAATAAGAAGCATTTGTCATGTGAGGTCATCTGAACTTTCCTTCTTTTCAAAGATGATGCACGAGGCTCTTGCATTTCACAACTGGTTATTTTTGTAGAAATGTTTGTTCTTATATTTTTTATTGTGCTCCTCCATATGCAGGAGAGGAATGTTGATGCTGGAAGCCACCCTGGTTGTATTTGCCATATTAAGCCTCCATTGTTGCGATAAGATAGGAATACTCCAAAGCAAATGAGAATGTGAAGACCAGGGTAATGATATTTGTAAAGCTGTTGAGTTTACAGTGTACCTTTGCTTCACATAATACATTCATTATTCTGAAACACATGCCTATAAAACAACCCCCTTTTTTGCTTTTACTCTTGATAGAATTTTGTACAACGGATCATTCAATTTTTTTGATCCAATACCTGAAAATGGCTTGTTACTGGAATTTTAAAAGTTCTTACAAATGCAAGCTAGCATATCATGAAAGCCCGCATTCAAGCGGTTAAAAAGGCTACGGCCCTCTTGAGGTGCCATACAGTCACTTTGCTTTCACTGTGTGTGCGCTTAGCCCTGAAAGTGCATTAGAATTTGAAATTTCCTCCTCTCTCTCTCTCTCTCTCTCTCTCTTCTATGATTGATGAGATAATTGGTTACTTGGTGCTGAGTAATGAGACCTAATACATCAATTCATTATCCAATTACTAACTAGGCTTCACAGTCTGGTGGGGGTACACAGAACTGTCTTGGACTGTTTGGTTCCCTTGGAACATGCCTTGCTATAATCTAGTAATGTTGGTGGCATTCTCAGCATCTTGGTTCTCAATGGCAAGGCACCAGAAATGCACTAGAGAGGGACTAGAAGAGAAAATAGAACTGAAAGCAGTCCGGGTATGGCCTACAAATAGACCAGTGAGAACCTGAAACTAACAATAGGCTAGAATCAACATGACATGAATTAGAAATTTGATTGGATTTGAATGGGAATCTCCTAACAAACCCTAAAACTGACTAGAAAAGGGTTTCCTAGGTAGATCTTTTTGCTCCTGAGACCCACGATAAGTATACCAGGTGCATTTTGAAATCAAATGTCTTAAAGCCCCCCTGTACTACTTGTAGTTACTTGCTCCCTCTATATAGAAAACAATGCCTAAGCCATGATCCTCTTTTTCTTATGTTAATTGAGAGCCGAGTTGATGAGATAACCACCTGTTGGTGACCTTGCAGTTGGTCTAATCCCTCCTGGTCTAACCAGTACAGATGTGCTTTGAATATTAGCTGCTGAAGTCATATTGAACAACTATTTTGTATTCATGGTTCCTCAAATTCTCCCTATCTAATCATAAACTCCTCTTCCCTAAGAACTCCTCTGCAATATTAAAAACACAGGAATGAATGATCTACTCTATTTTATTCTAACCATGTATTTTCCCTCGTTCTTGATTAAGGAAGGTCAATGACCTGAATCCTCAAGTTCAGTTATCACTGATAATACAGCAGTTTTGGGCTCAATAATAAATTGTACATGTTATAGAGATGAAAACAGAGCCGATCCATTACCTGACCAAGTGTAAGCTCTGTTTCTCCAAGGAAGTCATCATCATTAAGACCAGCGGTGGAATTGTCGATGTCGTAGACAGAAAACCTGAGTTTTTGGACCTCTTCAAAGCAGTAGTCGAAGGTGATGCCTTGTGTGAAGACTGGATTCAGGTTGTTCTTGATTCGTTCTGTGCGACCGACCTGAGGCACAGGAGATAAGAATAAGAATGTATATAAGGTCAACATTTTCTTGGAAAGTACATGTATCTTCTCATCACCATTATCGTCGTCATCACCTTTGAATAAACATCATCACAGTTCCTTTTAATTACTGTCAAGTAGGTTGTTATCATCATCATCATCATCATCATCATCATCATCATCATCATCAATATCATCATCACTATCATCATCACCATTATCATCATCATCATCATCATCATCATCAACATCATCATCATCATCATCACCATCATCATCATCATCATCACCATCATCATCACCATCATCACCATCACCATCATCACCATCATCATCATCACCATCACCATCACCACCACTACCACCACCCCCATCACCACTACCACCACCCCCACTGCCACCATCATGACTACCACCACCCTTACCACCACCATCATTTTTATCATCATCATCATCATCATCACCACTACCACCAACCCCACCACCACCATCATCTTCATCATCATCATCATTTCTTACCTCTATCCACTGTTTCCTGGAATCTTGCTGGAAGACGACAGCTAGAGGATCGGACTTGGAGCCTACATCCTTGTTTTTGAGGTGCTTACAGGAGAGCCTGATCTCGACCTTGGTGGCCAAGGGAACATTAGCTGTAGTTGTGGCCATCACTCTCTACCGTCCTTCTACTTCTACTGGCAGTACTATCCCTGCAAAATGGATAAAGACAGATAAAAACGAGTCGTAAGTTTAAATCTTAAATGGTTCTTGAGATATTGTGATAACGGTCAAACGGGACGGACGTACGGACGGACAACCCGAAAACATGATGCCTCCGGCACCACCTTCGGTGGCGGAGGCATAAAAATAAGTTTTAAAGTTTAATAGTAAAATTTTATTCCGAGGTTCCTTTGGAGGGCATCGCCATAAAAACCTGTTCATGCGGAATAATCCTCCTCTTTCTCTTCTACCTTCGCCTTTTCTCCTCTTTTTACTCCTCCTACCCCTCTTTCTCTTTCTTTTCTTCTTCTCCTCCTTCTTCTCCTTCTTCTCATCATAAAATTATCCCTTCATCCTCGCTCATCCCCTCTTTCTTCCCTCATTCCTCTTCTCACTTCTTCTTCCCCTCCTCCTCCACTCCTCCTCCCCTCCGCCTCTCAATCTCCCACTATCATCCGCTCCACAACCCACCAAAGATACCCTACCACCAGACAGCTTAACGACGCCCTAATGACGGACCCATTTAGCCTAATCATCATCCTCATGATTAGTAGGGCTATCACCTTTCTGAGCTATTGATGGGACTACACAGGTGTCTCCAATCTCACAGTCCAAAGCACATTATCAAATATGCATGTTACCCTATTTATACAACCCTAATTGTGTCCATGCCTGTCTATCGCCAAAGTGTAGACAAATTTGTCATCCTTCGAGTAGTCTTCTTTACGATGGTACAGAAATTTCTTCAAGTTCAAGTGAAAAAATGCGAAAAAAGGGCACATTTATATTGCAGTAAGATCAATTTAAAGAACCATTGTTTTTCTTCTTTTTTTCTAAAAGATTTGTGGGAATAAAGTATATTGAAAGGTTACATGCTTGCCAGTGAGATTTCAGGGTTAAAATATGTTTGAGACTCAGGAATTGATTGATATAATATAACTATACAGACCCTGTATTATATAATAGTTTTCATAGTGGTGATGAATTTGTAAAAGAAGAGAAAAACCATACCAGTAATTGGAGAATACCTAGCAAAATTTACAGCAAAAGAGGAATACTCAAATGTAAGTTGATGAGGTTGTAGAACTCTGATTTTCCATCACCAAAAGAACTTAAATTTCACAACTATCATGATGGCTGTTTTTAGAAGTATCCGGCAACAAAACAACATCAGCAAGGGCCCATATTCTTAGGTTGAAAGGCACAGGGGAGTTCTGACCATCCCTTAATCTGCACTAAAACTGCCTTAAGCTCTTTAAAAACAATTACACTGTTACAATTTCATATCCCAACCTGATATTCCTAAAACTGGCAAGATATATGTCAAGCCCTAATTCACCACTCAAGCTTGTCGCATTGACATGCCGTGCTGAACATGAAATGAGCAATCATTACTACAACATCTGTTAATAAACATGAGCCATATCATCATCCAGTGGAATATGATGATGTCATCTGGTATGAGAGAAAGAAGGGCATTAGCTCACTGTGGAGTGATACGTGTTAACGCCCTTTTGCTTCTCAATCCAGCAGACAAGATATATTGCACTCTAATGATATCAAGTTCTCCAGGCAACGAATGCATCAGGAAAAGAGACATTACATTCCCATGTTGACCTATTTTCATGTCTGAATTTTTATTGCTGCTTCAACTTTTTCTTCTATTTGTTCTTCTCTCTCTCTCTCTCTCTCTCTCTCTCTCTCTCTCTCTCTCTCTTATGTATCCCTCTACCTCTCCCCTCTCTCTTTCTCACTACTTTTCTCTCTGTCACTATCTTCTCTTTCTCTCTCTTCATTTTTATAGCTTCATTCCCATGAACAACATCTTTCAAAATATCACTTTTGCCCAAGAAGTGAACTTTCCAACTGCCCTAGTTTTTTATTATCGAGAAGTACAACTTATATCACAGGCACTCGCAATGCATGAAACAGTTACTTTTAAAAGGAATATAACAAATTCTTTTGACACATTCATGTAGGAAATGTTCTGACAGGCTGGAAGTGGGAATCTGGTTATGAAATAAGAACTTGTCAACAGCAGGAAATTTTCTGTCCTGAAAATGTCACATATCCTCTACAAGAAAAAGTATAAGTTTGATGTGCAGTATAAGATGGAAATAGGTTCTGAACAATATTATGGGTGCATCTCTAATGCCACAAACTACACAATTGAAGCACAAAGAGACTCCATGCAGAGAAAACATGCAGCATTCTTTTGTCGAAATTTTCATACATACAGGTATTCTACTTTTAGATTCAATATAGACATAGGTTCTTATCTGACTAATAAGAGTAGTACTTAATTAGGAAGCAGCAATATTGCTCTACAAAAAAAGAAGAAAATGAAAAAAGCATTATATTCAAGGTTGTTAGCAAATCAATTATCAGTTAAATATATCACACACGTTTGATTTTGATGCCAAACATTCATAATTTCAAATATTCGTTATTCATGTCTGTGCAATTAAACAGCACTGATTGGGAAGAACAGAAATATGCTTATACACCATAAAGTACCGAAGCTGTGACGTCATAAAAGTCTACTTTTAGAATTTCTCAATTTTTTTCTTCATTTTCAGAAAGAGCATCAAAAATAATGTCCAAATGTCGAAAACCAATTGATTATGTTAAGTATTGGCTGAGATATGACCATCTGAATGAATAATGTATATTTCCTATAGGAACTCAGTGTTATATGCTCTGTGCTTAAAGGTAAAGACCAGTATTGGAAACGCCCCAATTTCAAAAAATGAAATGGAAGCTCTCATTACCAATCATGTGAAAGAATATGTTTTGACTAATACATGATGATAAAAATTTTGCCGGGAAACTGCCTACTAATTCATATATTTGGTAAATTTGTTACTCTCATGGTCTGTGAGAGATATAGGGTAGTCCCATATACATCTTTCTGTGTATAGTGCTTGTAACTTTACAAAGAATGGGCCAAATTTCTTATCATTTTGATGATTCCAGAACCTTGCAGATGCTAGATGCTAGATGATCAACCTTTTCTGATTGATTCCACGTTTCTTTCACAATGCAATCACTTGACCATAACTGGTCTTTACCTTTAACCATGTCTGCACTGTGAGACTAGGGTGACAGCATACTGCATAGGCTCTGTACTTCAGCTGCGCCGAATACAGCCAAAGAATGACAGAGCTAGGCTTTGCTCAAGGCTTTAGGAATTGTAGTAAGTGATGAAGAAAACAAAATTGAATTGAAATTGAATTGAATTTAAACCCTGTGTCTGCAGAGTAGGCTTTGTGTATTATGAAGACTGCCCAGCCCCACAATAATAATGTGCAGATGCTAATTAACTTTAAAAAGCCTTGGGGTAAGACTAGTGGTAGGTGCTAGGCTGTGAAAGCATAATCATATCGTACAACCTTGAGTGACACTGTAATGCTATCCAGTGACCAATATGATGGTCAAGAATAACAAACTGTGTCCCAGCAACGATATAAATGCTTATAATCATAAATATGCATGATCAATGTTTGGATGTGGGCGATATTAGACCATGTTGAGTGAAGCCGTATCTATATTTCAGACGGGGGTGGGATCGTTTGCATGGAGAGTTTGCTTGATTACTTGGAACAGAACAAAACTATGTTCGCTTCCAGCACACATTGGCCCATAGATCTCTGGTTTTCATAGAGTTTGGCAAAAACAATTGGACAGCTAGCTCTAGTTTTCAATTTGAATGTGACCTATATATTGGGATTCTATGTGGTTGCAGGTATCGACGATCATTTAAGTAATGTTACTGCTCCAGACGTACAGTTTATTACTTTAATACTGCTCACCTTTTGCAGCCTGCTCTAATGTGAGGAGTGGGTCCAAACATTGAGGGGGCATTGTCATCATGGGTACAGGGGGAGAGGGAGGAGGAGGGGGAGGAGGAGGGGAGGAGGAGGGGTCACTGGTCTTCCTCGGCATAGATGAAGTACAATTTAAAGGTAAAGACCAGTTTTGGAAACGCCCTCCTCTCAAAAAATGAAATGGAAGCTCCATTACCAATCATGTGAAAGAATATGCTTTGACTAATATGTGATCATACAAATTTTGCCGAGAAACCGCCTACTAATTGATACATTTGGTAAATTATTATATCTATTTGGACCTGATAGATATAACACATGTGTGCATAGTCCCATATACATCTTTCTGTGTACAGTGCTTGTAACTATTCCAAGACTGGGCCAAATTTCTGATCATTTTGATGATTCCAGAACCTTGCAGTACACACCAATACTTATATGCTAGATGATCAACCTTTTCTGATCGATTCCACAACGTTTCTTTCACAATGCAATCGCATGACCATAACTCAACTTATCTTTAACAAGACATTGATTAGAGAGATGGTGTGGCAGTGGAAGCAGGTCATCTTCTTTTCATGTTCCCTTCTCCCTCTGTTTTTTTTTTTTTTTTTTGACATTTGACTTGGAGCTAGCATCTGCCCTGTACCCCCTCTCAAGCTAGTGTTTGTTATGCAGATGAAGTGAACAAAAATAGAAATTGAGATGAACACGTTCCACTGATTGAGCAACACCAAGAATACGAATCACTTGTCAAAATGCCATCGGCCCTAAAAACCTCTGAAATTACGTTCTGTACGCTGTATGTGTAGGATTCTCCGTGACGAGTAAAAGCTTTTAGACGATTAAAAAGGAACAGATGGTCACAGTTGAAGAGGCGTTGATAGAAAACTAGGGAACTGGGCTGGCTCAAGGAGAACTTATGACGGAAGTGTGAGATTTAACTGTTTTGGAATCATAAATTTCATTCATCATTTCTTTCAGTTTCCCCTCATTTTTTTGTTCAGCAAAAAGGAAAAAGATCTTGCATATTACATATATTTAATGTTTTTAAGTTGTTTGTTATATTTATTCATGTATCTATAATACTTATTACTATTTTCTATCGTGGTTGCCAGATTGATCCAAGAGGAAGACCTGCGGGTTATAGTGATTAAATTAGCTG